GGTGGTTTTGGGAAAAGTAGACGGTTTCCTATAGGAACCTGGGCACTCTGTTTTATGATCCTCGGGAGGATGGCAGGTTGAGACTTGGAACGTGGAAGGAGTGCTACTTCTAGAGTGGGTCCAATGGGACCAATCCGCCGAGTTAGGCGATTATGAGCACGTTTTTAATGCTATAATTAGGTAGTAGAAAGTTAATACTATTGGTAGGCTATAGACTAGATTAGGTAATAAATAGGTAGATATTATCTTTTTGGTTTGTTCTGGTTTTCAAGGCCTGTGGCATTTTGTTGGCTAGTGTGCTCGGTTTAGGGTAATGGTGTGACCGGAGGTTCAGTGTGGGCCTCCCCCCCCCCCGGCCACCCCTCTCTTTCTTTTCACTGTTTCTTTGCCCCTCCCTCATTCTTGTGCCTTTCTGTCCTTATCTTCCTTTGTTTTTCTGGTTTGTTAGGTTTTGCAGGTCAGTGACATTCTTTCTTGGGTGGTGGCTGAGTTTTCAGGACAGCGGCCTTGGTTTGGTCATTTCTGTTCCTAGACTTTTACTCGGCCTCAGCGTGCGCTCGTAAGCTCAACTGGCTGATGCTGCCAGGATAACTCCGGGTTGACCATTTTGACCTGTTTAATAAACTTTGGTTGGAAAAAATAAAAATTAAAAAATGTAGACTAGCCACAGAGCAGCGAAGCGCTTGCAGGTGAAGGTGAATATCGGAGCAGGACTTAAACTCGGGTGTGTGTGTCAATAGTCGTAGGTGCACCATTCGTCCACGGGTGGCTGGGGTTAGTTCTGGTATCGCAGGCGCATTTTTCAGCAGTTCATGGACATATACTACCACTCAGCCACATGAGGCTCAGCAACGCTGTTGGTTTTGGCCAACGGCCAAACTTTGGTAAAAAGAACGGGGAAAAGAACCTACAACGATACCAAGCACAGGTTGCCCGCAAGGTGGCGGGCTGGAAAGAAGTTGGGATACGGCCAATTATGCGAATTATTTCCTTTTTTTTTCTTGTTTTGTGCCACTCGGGTAGCACGCGGATGGGAAAGTTGCCAATCACCCATCAGATGCCGCGCCTATTTGGGACGCAGAGCAGCAGAGGGAGGGCTAGGAGGGCACGAGCCCAGGAAAGGAAGCGAGGAAGCATGTGTTCCTGAGGTGACTTGAAAGCTGAGACCGCTGAGAAGGACGATCAGCGCCCGCGAATTCGACAATGAGAAACAAAAGACCATCCAGAGGTGAGAACGCATTGAAGTGTCTCTCTATGAGCAGTACTCAGACATCGAAATGTGGCCGTCCCGCTACTGCCCTTCGTTTTTCTCTTTCTCGATCTTTCTCTATTTCTTTCTCCCCATCTTGCTTCTCCTCCCATCTAGTTCTTCATCCGTCATTCCTCTTTTTCCTGCTGCTTCCCTTTGTCCTCCTCTTTCGCCTCCTCCTCCTCCTCCTCCTCATCATCATCATCTTGTTGTGCCCCCCTTCTTGTCCTATTCTCCCCCTTCGTCTCCTTTCCTTCCTCCTTCTCCGCCTCTTCTCCTCCTCTCCTGCCTTCGCCTACTCCTGCTCCTCGTTCACCGTTTCCACCGTCTCATTCCTCGTCGTCCTCTTCCACTCTCTTCTCTTCGTCTTCCTCCTCTGCATGTCTCGTCGTCGCGCCGCATATCAATGAGGCATCTCGCGAGGCGCGAAGCTCCCCTTTCTTTTCCACCTCGCCCACTCGTACCTCCTTCCCTCTTTCTCCTCCCCACAAGGACGGTGGTGATAAGGTAGGAGGAGGGGGAAGAGGGGCTGGTGAAGGAAGGGGACGACGGCGAAGAGGAGGAAGGGCGGGGTTAGGAAGAGGGGAACGAGCGGAGCGAGAAGGGGAGGACGAGAGGTGCAGATAAGCATTTTTGAGACTGATGGCTCTTTCGCTGCCATCTCAGTGACAGGATTGGCGTGTCTTTGTCCAAACGAACGTTAACGCTTCCTTGTGTCGTCTTCTTCTGACTCCTAAAGCTAGTCGAAAGCGCCGAGGGAATTCGTTCTTTCTTTCTTTCTTTCGGCTTCATGTTGTTTTGAATCGATAGCCCGCGTTTACTCCACCTTTCGCGTCATCCTAATTTCTTTTACGCTTTTTGGTCTCCGCTTTTCGCGTGAAGCCTCAACCTTGAATAGGCATCATCGCTATCATGTCGTAATGGGACCAAAATGAAGCGGAGTAAATTGCAGATCACTACACCCTGTCTTTGATCTCCTCGTCGACCCCGCGTGTGGTAATTTCAGCGTTATGCTGCTTAAGGTACTTCTCCTCCTCGACTACCCCCTGATCCACTCTTTCTCCTTCCCGGAAATCTCTCTCTCTCTCTCTCTCACACACACACACACTCACACCCTTTCTCTGCGCCTCTGTCTGCCACTACTCGTCTTTTATCTCCTCGTCGAACCCGTGCGCGGTAATCTCAGCGCTATGCTGTTTAAGGTTCTTCTCGTCCTCCTCGACTACCCCCTGATCCACTCTCTCCTTTCCAGAAATCTCTCTCTGTCTCTCTCACACACACTTTCTTTGCGCCTGTCTCTCTTTCTCCCTCCGCCGCACAGTGAAGGAGACAAATACTACCTGCTTCACTGGAATAGAAGTTCTGCCCGGTCAGTATAGCCGTATGTGGGGCAACATTCAGTCTACATACGGCCGTAAAGGGCGGGCGTTCTGTTCGGGTGAAGACGCCAGCAGGAGGACGAGCGCCGAGAAGCAGGATTCGACCAAAGAGATGAAGACAAGGACGGTTTTCGCCCCATTAGCCAATCGAGGGGAGGCGAGGGGATAAGGTATGGAGGACGAGAAGATCGTAGCAGAGTTTGCAGCATTCTGCGGTAAATGGATGGTTGGTCTTCCAAGTGTAGCTTGCTAAGTAATTCGAGAACGAGCAGGAGGAAGGTGAAGAAAAAGGCGACAGCAGCGGTGATGGTTGTACTTGTACTTTGCAGGCGGTGAACAACATTGCCGTTGTGAGCGGTGATGGTTGTACTTGTACTTTGCAGGCGGTGAACAACATTGCCGTTGTGAATCCCGCAGCTCTTGCGGACTTGTCTGATTCGCTGCCTTTAGTCGTGCCCGCAGAAACTTGCCTCAATGGCCGAAGTCGGTGCTAACGTGAGGTTGCCCTCTCGTCAGTCGACGGATTTGCTCCGGCGTTGGTATCCCATCATCTCTCGCCGCATAGAACTCGCTGAGGGGGGGGGGGGCGCGTAGGTGCATGCGGGCTTGAAAATTACTCTGAATGCATACGTCATGGCCTCGCGTTCTCTGTGGGGAGAGGGCAACGCTGAGCAGGATGATAATCACAAAACATGACGTCGAACAGGAAATCAAGGGGGAAGGACGAGAGGGGGGGGGGGGGGCAATCGCTCAACCCACTGCTGAGGGCCGAGGCACTAGAGACGGCTCTCATTCACAGCGTCTGGGCTTAGCTGTTGGAGCGACTGGATTCTTTTGAAGACATCAACCTGCCTCCTCGTCATTTGGCGGGTCCTCCTCTCTTGTCCGACGACATCTCTCCCATCTACTCCATCACCTCCGCCTCGTTCTACCTTGTCTCTCGCAATCGGATATAAAGCCCTATCGCAAACGTCAGCCTGTCGATCTCGAGCTGCTTCTCTTCTCCTGCTTGTCCTCGTCTTTGTCTTATTCTTTTTCTCGTCCATTTCTTGTTTCTAACGCTCCTGTTGATAATGATCATGACGAGGACCGGGAAGAACAGGAAGACAAATCCATGTCCGTGTTTGAGGGTGATGGAGAAGAGGTCGAAATGTTTTCTCGAGTTATCTTCTCATGTGTTCCTTCCTGTTCACACGTATGCAAGGAGAACTACTGTTTTACGAGATGAACCTGGTCATGTTATGGAGATCGAAGCATCTTTCTGAATTGCTCGACCCCAAGTTATAGCGCGCGATCATGCGCTGAGGTGCCTCTTACCGGGTGGTGGATATTCTCACCTAGGATTGAATTGAAAACAGCAGACTACGCAATTAATTGGGGACAGGAGGCGAAATGACATCTCGGAACAACACAGCCCTAAGTTAATACCGGTCAAGTCCACCAAAATGAATGAATAGTGGATCATGGTGCTTGCTTTCCCCAGGAGGAAAAAGGGGAGGCGGGAGAAGACGAGGAGGGAAGAGCTTGAAGTTCTTAACAGCGGCGTCGAGGAGCAGGAGGGAGAAGAGAAGAGTATGGCATAGTCAGAGACTAACAGATTTTCGAAGATGATGATGTTATTGAGGAAGAGGAAGGAGAGGACGGGAGGAAAATGAGATCGAGGAGACGGAAGAGGTGGACGCATTGGAGGGTGATCCTACCGGTAGTCTGTATTGTGCTGGTTGTCCGTGCGATTACTGTGCCTGTTCTCTGTTTCGTTGGCTTCCGTGTCGGCAATCAGTTCACTGTTATTTCCATCCTCGAACCGAACCGAAACTGCACGGGCGAATTACCTGGAGCCGACCAGTTTAATGATGATATCTCAAGACCGTTGCGGTTTTCAAGATGGAGAGAAGGAAGGAGGTAAAGAAAAATAAAATAGAATTGCACGGACAATCATCGAATACCTACTTGTGTGAAAGAAGTGAATTTCTGATTCCGATTTTCCGCCGACCGATGGCGAACACGAGGATGGCGACGATCTGAGTGCGCAACAAAAGCTGCGCGTAGAGAAAAGAGTACTTCAAGTTGATCTCGTCTTATCATTATATTATTATTATACTGTTATCGTGTTATTGAAAATAGAAGCGAGAGGAGAGCACGGTCGCTCTCCTTTCCAGACGAAAAAAAAAAACTTGGATGAAAGCGTTGTCTGGTCCTTGGTCGTCTGGATTCGAACTCGGATCTGTATTTCAACAGTTCATGGGTGTACTAGGCTCTTGGGTGTGCGTGCTTTCTCAATGTTATGGTTCATCAATTGAACGGTTGATCAATCGAACGGGTACAACGACTTGGTAGTTAACTGTTATAATGGGTGTACTGGGCTCTTGGGTGTGCGTGCTTTGTCAATGTTATGGTTCATCAATTGAACGGTTGATCAATCGAATGAGTACAACGACTTGGTTAAGTTAACTGTTATAATTGATGGATACGGCGACAATTGATTTAAGTCTTAGGTTGGCAGATCAAATCAGCGAAGTTACTGAAGGCAATAATTTGAATGCGCAAGTATTCGATGTCGTATGCAATATTTTTATTGCTGTTAGAGAATGATTGATCACTTTTCTCATTGGTTGATGATTGAATGATGGATCGGTCGGATGATTGGATTGACGAGGGTGGCGAGTGGGATATGAACATAGCACGAGAATAATGAAAGTAAGTGGAAGAGGAGGTGGAAGACGATCAGGAGGTGGAAGACGATCAGGAAGAAGAGCGTCGACGACCAAAGATGGCAGTCAGGAGGAGGAGGAGGAGGAGGAGGAGGAGGAGGAGGAGGAGGATGGAGGGTCGCGTGGAGGGCAGGTAGGTTCTGCCGTGGATGACCTTACGAAGTGGCGAAGAGAAGTCAGGAGAAAAGGAAGGAAAATGAGAGCAACCCAGCCGTAATGAGTGAATGGTGAACACTTGTCGCTGTTGATAAACAGATCATGAGTTCAAATCGTGATGGGCTCAAGAATATAAAGGGGATGTTCGTCCCTCGGTAATGCAAAGACTAAAGAAAGGAGAGCAATGACCATTTTCCCTCGGGATGCGCTTGCCCCGACGAGCCGTGATTTGTTGTGCTTCGGTTGCAGTCATTAATTCCGTTCCATTTGCGTAGTCTGCTGTATGTAGTGCCTCCATTTTTATTTTGATTTTGGCCCTTTTGCTCGAACGCATCCAGAGGCGGCACAGTAGAGGTCCGTTAAAAGTGGATTGTGACAAAGAAGATATACTCAGTGTAGGTGTGGTAGGTGTGAGGCTTGGTTTGTGGTTAGCCCCCTGAGGAGTCGAAACGTGCGAGTCCGAGTGTCATAAGAACATGTCGTGCTTCTCAAGTTTGATCTGTGGGAACGTGTGGCCATTGCTTACTTGTTTTTCTTTTTTCTTCCTTTCTTTGTTTGCTGTCATTAATTTCCTTCCATTTGTGCAGTCTGCTGCACGTAATGCCTCCATTTTTATTTTTATATTTTGGCCCTTTTCCTTGAATGCTTCCCGAGGAGGCACAGTAGCGTTGTCGTTCAGGACGTCCATTAAAACTGGAACGAGACACAGAAGATTAGCATGGCCCAAAAACAAATGTTGCTTTCTATGCCTCTGGGAAGGTGTATCCAGTTGACAAAATGTAATTAAGGGGCGGTAAAACGAACTTCTCGCAAGCTATGGCAGGGGAGGCAGTGGATGGCCCAGCCACTGGATAAGCCCTTTCTGGTTAAACCACCAGTACTTCGCCCAGCTGTTGAAGCTGAACCTGAGAATGCCGTGCGCGCCAAAGAAAAAGGAACCTCCTTTTGGCTGGTTCCCCCAGCCATTTTGCTTTGGAGGCCGAGTTCCGAAAGTTGTGGCGAGGTAACGTGACGTGCCCGCGGGTGTATGAAAGTGAAGTGCCCACGGGCGTATGAAAGTGAAGTGCCCACGGGCGTATGAAAGTGAAGTGCCCGAGGGCGTATGGAAGTGAAGTGCCCGCGGGCGGATTAAAGTGAAGTGCCCGTTGGCGGATTAAAGTGAAGGATTAAAGTGAAGTGCTTGCGGGCATGTGAAAGTGAAGTGCCCGCGGCCGGTGTAACCCAGTTTGTGCGGAACTGTACCCTCCTATCTCTGAGAATGGAGGAGGTTGTGAGCAGGCCCAAAAGGTGAGGATGGAAGGCAGGGGCAAAAGATAAAGAGGTTGGAGGCAGTCTTATGTCAGCAAATGGACAGAAGTTGAAAACACTGTTGACTTCTCAAACGAGTTCTCCCATTCATTTACAAGCCTGGCTAGAGGCTTGTTTTTGTGAAATTGTTTGTGACGAACTTCTTTGTTCAAAACTGCGGAAACATCAGTCAATCTAGTTCAACAAAGCATGTTATTACTGAAAGATGGGGAACCACTGATAGGACAAATTTTGCACGGAGATGGCTGTTTTCCAGCTGTTATCCACAGACCACAAGGGTGTAGGTACTTCATATCTAATCTTTGGTGCGGTTGCTTAAGTAATGGGTACATGTGGCACCCCCAAAAAGGTGAGAGAAAAGTGTGCCAAAGATGAAAAGTGAAAAGGTCCTGCCTTCACTGAGAAGGATCTTGCTTTCTCACCTTTGCATGGCTCTTAAGATCCACTCGATATGAGTACACTTGGAACTTATTTACAACTTGAAATGATGTACACAGGAAAGTGTGCCTAAGATTAGAAGTGAAAAGGTTTTGCCTTCACTGAAAAGGATCTTGCTTTCTCGCCTTTGCATGTCTCTTAAGATCTGCACCAAGCCAGCAAGATCCACACGATATGAGTACACTTGGAACTTATTTACAACTTGAAATGATGTACACAGGTTTCTCAAGCTCTGTGACCATAGTTGCAAGCAACGACAACAAGCAGGTAAGTCTGTCTCTCGACCCCGCTCAGGTCTTGTGGTCTCTCTCTGAATGTCGCCGCTCTCTCTCTTTCTCAGTACTGCACTATCCTAAGCTATGGTGCCCTGCGCTGTGGACTACCTTGCCAAGCACTGTTCAAGCATCCGGGGTCTTGGTGATTCTGCCTATGCCAGAATTGAAGACGAGGAGGTTTTTCTGTCCTCCCTTTTCTGCATACAGGTATGACCAGCCCTAAGTTACAGTTTGGTATCGAACACATGACCTTATGTGAATTGGGCAAGTGACCTAACCTATTGACCTACACGATGAAATAGTTTGTAGCTGTGCTCTGTTGGGCTTGAGTAAACCGGACTTTGCAAGCCACCTAGCAACCCCGTAGACCAAGGACATCAAGATACCCACCATCACCCAGTCCATGCTTGCCGGTGAATAGCAACCGGACTGACGCCCCCAGAACAGAAGGGGAAAAAAATCAGCAATGCCTTCGACCTTGTCCGCCATGCTTGCCGGTGAATAGCAACTGGACTGACGCCCCCCAGAACAGAAAGGGCATGTGTGTGTCAAAAAAAAGAAAAGAAATCAGCAACGCCTACAAGGCTAGAGGAGTTTGGTTGTGGTGCTAGAGGAGTTTGGTTGTGGTGGTTTGCCATGATGTATTCTCTTCAGCTCAAGTCTTAGATTGCTTATCAAGACTATGCTTAAGAATCAGGGTTGAAACAAGGATGGAATGGCTGTCTACGCGTCGAATTCACAGATCCCCCTACGTGCTTGCTCATAGTATGTGACAATTCGAGGTGCGCTCTCACGAAGTTGGTCTTTCGGGTCGTCTGGGTCTTCGTGACTATCTCCCCTTCCTATTGGTTCTAAGTTCAACCTGATTGTCGATGGGGTTCAAAACTACCATCCATATCAGGCGGGTTCATTGATCTACACGAAGGGAAGGATTGTCCTCAGTTAACAGGCAACAACTTTGAAGCATGGAAGACTGGACAAGTGTGAAGGTGCGGAGGAGGGACGTCTATTCGATAGGAAGGGCGTACTGTCAGCGTCTCCCCTAAACCACCAGGATGTGGCCCCAGGCAACTTCAGAATGCCAAGTTTTGGGGCTTGAGGAAGGCCCAGTAGTGTAACGGGGGAGGAAGGTCCAGTAGTGTGATGGGGTAGGATGTCCCAATGAAAAACGTCAAATGGTTGCAAGTTTCGCCCTCCCCAAATAAAAGAACCACAACGAGAACAAACGCCTGCCACATGGCGGGCAGTGGATAGGCGTGGTGTCGCACGCCTGGAAATATAAGAGGCATGGATTGTTAATAAAAAAAAGAAAGAACCCAAGAATTACGGAAGTAGAAAGGGCAATAAGAATGTAGTGGAAAAGTGAAATACACAGATCTGACTCATCATGATTCCAACAGACTGCAATCGTCCATCATCAGGCACACACAGGATAGGTATGGCAGCTCAGACATAGAAGATAGTTGCCCTGCGGACAATGCATCCACGGACGAAGGTCTCAAATCTCTCTCTCTCTCTCTCTCTCTCTCTCTCTCTCTCTCTCTCTCTCTCTCTCTCTCTCATAGAAGAACAAGAAGCAGCGGAGGGAGAAGGAGAAGAAGAAATGGAGATGGAGGAGAAGAGCTGGAGAGAATAAGAAGAAGAACATGTCGACTCTCTCTCTCTCTCTGTGCCGCGGAGCCAGATGCTAACCAGCATAAAGCTGTTGCCTTGGAGCTGTGATGCAGGGGAGGGCCCTGAAGACGAACTGCAGCGATGAGGCCCAAGTGAGTCCAGCAGTCAAGTCCCATGTCCCTGGCCTCCACCTGCATCCATATCTCTCTACTCCAGCCGAGCTCCGCTACAGATCCAGCGCTGCTCCAGCAGTGTAATGTCTGCACCTCCAAATGCTGAGTGCCGAAAGTGTGTGCGGCCCAGCTGGGCCTACTAGATGCAGCTGTGGTTTGTATCCTGGGCCATCGGATCGAATCGCCAATCAATGGTCCAGGATGCAGGCCCAAATCCTGGTCTACATCGGCGTGCCTGTGTCCCTACGGGACATCCAGGCTCCTCTGTTGAACTAGTAGAGTGTGTCATCTGAAAAGACTAAAACGAGGTCCAGCCTAAGGAAAACATGCTCGGCCTGAAACAACGGGCTCCTAATGCTGGAACGATACATCCGGACCAAAACTCCCGGATTAGACGAATGAACTGAACTGCTGAAACGTCCTATCCAGACTGGAAAAAACCTGAAACAAACAAAAGAACTAAAAACAAACAAATGATTGAGAACTCAACAAAAACGAACCTCAGAAAAAGTGTAGATGGCCCCCAAAAGAGAAAGAAAAACTGGAAACTGGCAACCTACACCTCTACTCCAATGTTGCGCCCTGAAGAGGCTCATGTGGATGCCGTGCGTAGCAACCCCCCCTCTCCTTGAAAGATCGAGCCTACCGGTGAGGCCGTAGCCGTCTGTCAGAAGGGGGAACCAAGTCAGGGTGGGACGGGCAATCGGCTGCTGTAGAGCTTCTTTGGCCAGTCGTAGTTGCTTGTACTCGGCGTATATGAGTGGTCTTGAAGCTTGCAAATCTGCTCTAGATATCGAATGTGTGTTGGAAAGTCGGTGCTTTCAGACGAAACCTAGGTATTCCAGCTTAGAAGCGTGGAAGACCGGGTGGACCGACAGATGAGGAGGGATGTTGATGTTGAACGAAGGGCCATTGGGCTGGTCACCAACTGCGTCACGAACAAGCCATGGTCCAAATCACTTGGGGAGGAGTTCACAAGAGACTCTGCTCCTGCAAACTTCTTGGAGGAAACCCATACAAGCTCTGCACGGATGGGACACACTGTTGCATGCAGACCTGGACCTTTTGCATGTTTGCGTGGGCCTTGGCTAGCAATTCTCACATCTTCTGAATGGAGGCGTGTGTGCAAGGGGCGTCAATGTTGGTTGCCCGAGGGAGAGGAAGGTTTTCGAAGATATGTTTTTTTTTACCACCGTGGTGTAGCTCGAAAGAAGTAATGTCGAACATTGGATGTAACGAAGTGTTGTAGGCGCATTTGATGCTGGGGAGGTGGTCAACCCAATCGCTCTCATTCTGTGCTGAGCATACAGAGCATTACTTGAGTGGTTTGACGTGCCCACTCCGTTCGCATGTCCGTTCGTGTATGCCGAGCCGAACTTGGTTTCATCTCAGTCCCGAACTCCTTCATGGGAGAAGTTTGAAAGGTGGACATGAATCGAGTGTCGCGTTCGCTAACGATGTCCTCGAACCTCCATGGCTGCAAATCCAGAGAGTGTTGAAGATCCTTGCGAGCTCTTGAGCTGTCGCATGGTACTTGCACGGGAAGAATTGCGCGTAGTTACTCGAATTGTCAATGACCATGAGATTGCTGTCATGACTGAGGCATGGTACTTGCACAGGAAAAATCACGCGTACTTACTCGAATTGTGTGGCATTTTGAGTTCCACACGGCCCTACCGGGCCCATCCAGGTAGGACTAGGGGTTGGGTTAGGGGGTATTTTAGGCCCGGTGTCGTTTCGGCCCAGTATAGGGCCCCATAGGTTGGTAGGCACAGGCTACCGGTGTGGCACATCGTTTTGGCACTAGACCTCGGTAGAGGCCCAGTAGGCGCAAAGGCCGTTTTAGGCCTTCCTCAAATTCGAACAATTCGAATTTGGGCGCCAAGCTAGGCGCCAGCTGCTGGGTGCCAAAGACTGGCGCCGCTCGACATTGGTGAGAGCGGCCTCGGATCAGCACTATATATAGCTGGTCCGCGTAGGAGGGAGGTATCCAATAGGCAATCGGCGTAGTAGTGGTAGTCGACGATAGTCGAAGGGCTTGAGCGCTAGCATAGCACAGTGGAAGGACTTCAGCGCTAAGCATAGCGCAGCTGCAGTACATTGCAGCAGGAGAGAGAGAGAGAGAGAGAGAGAGAGAGAGAGAGAGAGAGAGAGAGAGAGAGAGAGAGAGAGAGNGAGAGAGAGAGAGAGAGAGAGAGAGAGAGAGAGAGAGAGAGAGAGAGAGAGAGAGAGAGAGAGAGAGAGAAAGTGGGCTATGGTGGAGGCTAGGGGACTTACTTCAGGAGTTACTTGTCGGCTTCAGCGCTCCAGCTTTGTCCTCCATGCGTCCGTACCTGCATCAAGGCGACACTTTCGCAGGTTACTACCTGGTGCCCAACGCACACACACACACACACACATAACAGGGGGGCGAGGAGCGAGGATGGTTGGAAGAGGGGAGGAATCACCAAGCACAAGTAGCAATTGGTAAAGGCATAAAAAGGCCGGACAGAGCGAGTAAATAAATAAATAAATAATAAATAATAAAAGATAAACCTTGATGAAAGACTGCGCGGAATAATGACGACCGAGAAACCCAAACGAGTACGATAGAGCGACACACCCCAGTTGTCATACAAACTCGTTCAGAGCATATTACGTCACAAAAAGATGATCGTAGGACAGCAGTTATGGGCCAGGGGAATGCTCACAGCCTGCAATAAACATGAGTCCCATTATGCGCACAGCCCGTGCGCGCATTGAGGCGAACAGCAAGGCATGCACGTTCTCCAAATAGTGATGTTTCGCTCAATTGATAGGACAATCAGAAGGTGTGTGATATGGATCGTATCCTCACAAATCAGGGGCGTTGTTTTCAAATTTTTATGCTTTTTTTGTTGTTTTTGTTTTTTGTTTCTTCCCTCGGCGAGTGACGGTGACGGAGCTTTTTTTTCTTTCTTTTCTTTTTTTCTTTCTTTTTTCTTCTTCTTTTTCCGCTCTTTTTTCCTTATTTTTTACACTAATCACCAGCGGTAACGTTTCGACCTATTAGGTAGGACAATTAGAAGGCGCGTGATACGGATCATATCCCCCCAATCAAGGGAAGTTATCTCGAACTTTTCTGCTATTGTGTTTGTTTTTATTTTTATTTTTTTTATTATTGTTATTTTTTTTTTGCTTTCGTTTTGTTGTTTGAGTTGATTTTTTTCCCGCCTCACGTCACCATCGACGTTTGTATTGTCCGCAGGCAATATCTCTCGGAAAGTGACGATGACAGGGCACTATTTAAGCAAGTGGAACGTCCCCCCGACTCCCATCATCGAATCAGCGCACAGGCCTTTCCGCTCGGCCGTAATTCAAGATTGTGGGCCGAACGGCAGCAGGCATTCCAGTTGACAGAAGATCGGGCAGACGGTGTTCTGAGCCCTGTACCGGGACGTCGGTGCTTGGTGGTTGCCTTCGCCATGGATTACCAGGTGGATCAGGAATTGCTGGAGTGGATGATCAATGACGAAGAAGACAGGGTATAAGCTTCCTCGCCCTCACCTCTAGAACTTCCTGACTATTTCAGTCACTTGTGATGCACCACGCATGCGCTAAGAAACTGCACGATCTTCCATTGTTTGCGTTGTTCTCACTTTGCACGCAGGGGGGCTCTACCGCTGATGATGCAAGTCTTCTTTCCACTTCAACTTCTGCGTTGGGCAGTCTGCAGGCTAGTCGAGCTAGGGGCTATGGCGTTGAACAAAGAGGGGGCGGTTGAGAAGATGGGGATAGCTATCGAGATGTCAGCCTACGTTTTGCTCGCTTTTGTTGCTTTGCTTGCTTTTCTTATTTTCTTGCCCTCTTATACCATTTGCAAGCTCTGCTGCCTCCATTGCCGCTCCGACTCACGAAGCATTTGTGACGATGAAATCGTGTACTGGTGGCTGGCGGCAGAAAAGCGCTTCAGGGATCGCCACTACCCTCCCTGCTTTAGCTGTTGTGACAGGCCTCCCATATTACGTGGAACTACCTTTGGGGATGCAGCTGGATCTTCATATTCATTCATTTTTCGTATGAGTCTTTGCGTCGTATTGTCTGTGGATCGGGAAGGAGGAGAGAAGAAATGACACTTCAGCTTTCTGGCCGGAAGAGAATTCATTCTTTGTTGTAAAGGAGGGCGTTGGATGTGTTCTCGACATATATTTCTCTCTGAAATGTGTTCACTCATGTTTTGAATTTGCGATCGATGTATGAATGGCTGATTTAGGGACAAATGTGAGAAGTAATAAGTACGGGGCATGGCCTATAAATATATAAAGTCGAGCTTTTAATGAAGCGAAGTTGCCTCCAAACATAATATCTATCCACCATCAACCGACCAAGATCAGCGAAGGGATTGGATACTATGGTGGATGGCACCGACTAATGCTACGAGCTACGGACAGAGGTGGAAAATAATGAGTACGATACATGACTTATATATAAGTATATATATGAATGTATATGTATATATATATATATGTGGCGAGCAGGGTTGCCTCTGGACACAGTATCTATCCGCGTACCGATCGACAGAGATCGGCGAGGGGATTGGATACTATGAATCGGATCGCATGGTAATGAATGGGTATGATGGGAACACATTTTTTACTGTGCATTTTGAACGAAAATTATGAGTCTACATGCATGAGTAGATATGTATGGTTCCACTAGGGTAATCAAATTTTATTTTTTGAGCACGTGATTGTTTTTCACGGTGGCCTTGAATGGGAGAACGATCCCGCTGACGGTGCTCGATCGGGTTGCGGATTGATCCGCGGGCAGGCCGAAGGGCGGTATCGCTCCCCCACTCTGGCGCTGTGATCACTTTTTCCCAGATCTCACGGGAAATAACTTATTACGCACTCATGTCTCCCAAGTATAGCAACCCATTAGAAAGCTATATCTTCCTTCGCCGACGGTTTGATTATATTGAATGGATCTATATGTAGGCGTAAGATTATAGAATTTTTATGTTGCATGCACCAGAGGGACAGATACGATCCCCCCCATATGGCCTGATTGAGAAGTGCATACGCTGTCCGATAGGACTAGTTTGCCACACTACCCCGGCGGCAATGCCGACAGGACCCGCCTGGCCCAGATCACATGGATGGCATCCTAGGATTATTCCGATGAGTGTTGTTTTTTTAGGGCACAGGAATGAGCTTGCGCTACATGGCGGATAGCCTTTCACCATGGACAAAGCGCAAGCACCCTTGTATATAGATATAAATTCCGCAAATAGTATGGATGGTATTACGACAATTGCATGATGTCTTCTAAGCACAGATAGCTCGATGCAGCCCTATGCCCCATACGCAAGCATCGATCATCGTATTATTTGCACTCGATCATATACACTTACGATCTCTTTATTTTAAGATATTACTGGTTGAGGGATATATGTTCTTCTTTTGTAGATCCACTCGCCCTCCGAAGGATATATCTCTGGGCCAACGGATTGCATGTACGTGGGGATAGGTTCTGGTCATGTTTCATGCGCAGGAATCCCACGGGATGGGTTATGTGGCATGAGAAGTCCTATGCTCGCGTGATAAGGAAAGCGGGGGTATGCTGATGAATTACTTCGGAGCTTGATGGCAATACGGTTTTCGTATTTTGCATCGACATGCTTGTCATGAAGAACTCTAACGCACACACGGGGGGTACCTCCTGTCAGCGCTGTTGGTGGTGTGTCCCACCAACCATAACCCTGCGGTACAGGCGTAGTGTTGCATAGGCAGTCGCCAACGAGACTCGATTGTACAGGGATGCGATTGCATGAGATCACCTCGTCCACGTAGCTGCCAGGAGGAAGCTGAAGTACGTCGCTATTCCAGCAACCTTCCTTGTTTCAAGTCGGTACATATTGTGTCGTACATGTGTTTGCGTTCTTTTGTGTCTTTGTGTTTGCTGCAGATTCCGTCGAAGGAGTTCTTCTCGGGAGGTTGGTGGGACGAACTCACTTGTAAGTATGAATGGCCCAGCAAACCAGCGCAAGCGCTCATTGCCAGACTGAAACTCGAGATCCTGGATGCGATGAAGAGAATGGTCGAGACGGGGGACTTTTCAACTTTTTTTTCATGATTGGATTTAGTGATGTTTTGCTAATCTTGTGTATGTCTGGGATCTAGGGAAGGACGCCTTTGTTGCCAAACTCCTAGACACTGCTGCGTGCTTAGATAAGAAGAAAATGGATTATGAGAGAGAATGCTTGGAACTGCCGGCCAGGACCGCTAAAGTTGAGCAAATGTTTCTTAAGATTTGGGGATTAGATCACTCGCATCTACAGGGGCAGGCCGCCGAGACACCGGCGGTCGGCTGCACCATTGCAGGAGCTCTCGCCATGGACGGTGAAGAGATGGATGAGTTAAACGCAGCCATAGCCGCAGTAACCGCTACTGCTAGCTGCACCCCGGAGAAAGCCTCATCCTCCCAAGGAAGGCAGTACACTGCATTTGCTCCGCTTCCATCCCTGCACTGGGTTGAGCACACTAGTACGGGGTTCACGCATGTGCTGTGGAAACTCGATACTTTTAATCATCTTGCTCCGTTCTCGGTAAAGGCCCTCGTTTTCCTCGCCAATCTGACCGACGAGGAGGTCGCCACATATAAGGCAAACGCGATGATTGGCGCGCTCCCGTACTGCCCCCCAGGAAAAAAGGCCTTTAACCCGACCCTCCTAACGTTTCCACTACTGTCGGCCCTCGACCATACAAAATGTGATTACTCCAGCCCAGTCATGTGGCAGAGAAAAGTGAAAACAGCCCTTGAGATCGATCTAAAAGGTCTCAGGAGAGTTGGAATGTTGGACGGCCGTACCTCAGATGCAGATGCGCTACGGAGTGGAAAAAGGACTGTGGGGCGGGACCGATTTGGATGGACCACCCGATCTGGTATCTACTCGCGCATCCAGACATCCTCTTCCCCAACATCGCCTCCGTAAAGGTGAGAACCTCTACCTTCATCCACTTTTTGCGTGTATCTTGGAAACCCGCGGTGGAGGCCTGTCTTACCTTCATGCTCATACGGGAGATCATGACCGATGTGATCTCTGCACTCGAAAAAAATCTCTCCCTCACCTCCGAGTCCGTCATCTGCAGGGAGAAATGAGGATACAATACCCCGCTGACCATCGACAGGGTATTGCTCCCCACAAGAATTACTGGCAATCCAAGGGTTAGAGCCAGAGGCAACCGGAACGAGCAAGGGAACGCCTAGAAAAGACAGCGCAACAACCTACCGATAGTCGTCTCTCCCCGGCAAATGGTACTTCCCTACAAACCAAGGGACAGGGCGGACGTGGCGCAGCAGATGGTCCCCCCCAAGGACATCCCGCGCAATGCGGGTGCCTCTGGTGGGACAGGCTCGCAGGATCGAGTAGGAGGCGTTCATCAGCCAGAGGAGCAGATGGGAGGCAGGGGGTTGCACAACATGGCGGTCGAAGGGCAAAGAGCTAGAGGCAGGGGTGGCTCTCGACTACTTTCCTCACAGACAGGGTCGGCGATCTCCACAGCGGAATCCACAAGGAATGGCGGATCACGAAAGAATGGGTCCTCCAGCAGGGGGAAGAAGGGAAAGAGAGGTTGTATCGGCACCCCTTGACGCGCACGCGCAAGGATCTGTACTCCGACGGATCAATCATTCGGCATTACTCACGTGATGCGTGATGATGGTTTTTTCTGTGTTGTTTTTTTCCCCCCCTTTTTTTCCCGTCTTTTTTTCTCTCTTTTTTCTTTCTTTTTCTCTTTTCCTTCTTTGATTGTTCTTTCGCCCCTTTTTTCCCCCTTTTTTTCCCCTTTCCCCAGTTGCTGTCTTATTTTCTTGAGCTCATCAATGCATTATAACTATATCTATATATTGCCTGTCGAGGGTTTTTCCTCCAACCTTTCACTAGTCACCACTTACACTAGGAACGGTCCCCTCTAACAATGGTCCTCCCACCTATGAGCTTCCGTGCGACCCGGAAGAAGGGGGCTGCATGATCGTGCTTCCGTCAGGAAGATCCGCATGGAAAAGGAGGGAGCGGGAACAAGACCAATTTGTACACATCAGATACACGAGCAGGCTTATGGAGGCGGTTCCCCTGAGAAGCGTGGTCCTGGAGGCGTTGAAGCAGGTAATGGGGGAGAGGTCGGCAACTTGGCTAGAGGATGTAATCATCGGGTGGCGGTATGACGAAGCTTTAGGAGCCAAGGTTTGCAAACCGGCGAGGGTATTCAGGAAGTTCATGATGAACGAATGGGAGGCAAGGTATGTACCAGAGTTCTGCCAGTGCGGCTCAGGGAGGCATGCCGAGTTCCTCAACACTTCCATCATCAAGATGCTCCCGGAAGAAGGTACCTTGCACGTCATCACGAATGATACCGGCATAACGAACAACGGCCAGCTACAGCTCATGCTTAATGCGGGCCTAAATCATATCCCGCTCAGGTCGCTCGATGAGGAGTTTACGATGGACGAGGTCGAGGTGGCGCTGGATAAGATACTCACCACACGGAGATGCGATGAAAAGCTATCCTTGGGGGAGGAGAGGCAAGTGAAGGCGATCGTGCGAGAGAAAGCGAGGAAGTCCATTAGGAGCTTTCGTACGAAGCATATGCATATCTCGGGCGAACCCATCAATAGCGTGGCCGTAAGGGGCGAGATCGAGTGGCTAACGAGCAGGTATCTAGTTTGTCCGACGGACAAGGCGCCACACACCCCCACGTTCGTCTACATCAACTTCATCAGGCGGCTGGCGTTGCAGAGACTCTCGGGGCCGGACTTCACACCGCTCCCGGATACGCCGGAGCAGGTTGCGACAAGGTTAATGCAGGAGGCGGCTGCCTTCACTCATGCTGGGCACGAGGCGCTGCCACTCCCGCACCTCATGACGGTGTACAAGGCGCACAAGCAATCCTTCAGATAAATTACGAACACGGCGGGCTCGGTGCTCTCCCCGGTAGCAGACGTTTGCAAGTGTCTGCTGAAGCTCCTGGCAGGGGATGTTCAAGCCCTCTGCACAAGTAAGAGCGAAGAGGTTCGTGCCGAGCATGGGGTCGAACCCAACTTCTGGTGGCCGATCTCCTCGATAGGGGAGTTCGTTGCAAACATCCCACGGCGCATCTACTCCATCTTCACCGGGGATATCACAAGGTGTTTTGAGACGATACCCACAGACGAATCAGAGGACGGTCTGCTGAAGGCGATCATTTTCTTTGTTAGCTGCGCCATGGAACGGAGGAGGGCCAGGACGACCAGGGATGCGATTGCGATCAGGGTCGCAGCAAACGACACGCTGCACCCTTACTGGGTAGCTGGTGATCAGGACAGGGACAGGGACAGGCTGTACTTCGACGAACAGGGGATCATCGACGTCTGTGAATGGCTCGTCTCCAACGGGGTGGTACAAATGGGGAACAGGGTCTGGAAATAGATCCTCAGGATTCCCATGGGTCTGGCTTGTTCCCCTACCTTCTGTGATGTGTATTTCTTCAAGTATGAGTACAGACTAATCTCGCACTTGGTCGAAATGCAAGAGTGGGCGGCAATTAGATGCTTCGAAGACTCCTATAGATATGTAGATGATCTGTGTTCTCTAAGCAACACGATCATCAACGAATTCCTCAAGAACGGTGTCGATGGCCAGAACCCAGGCCGCAGGATCTACCCGCACGATTTCATCGACGTTAAAGAAACAACTGAAGTTGTAATCGATGGACATGGGAGAGCTGCGAATTTTCTCAACCTCTCGTTAACAGTCATGTCCACCATGGACTACACGTACTTCACTTCGAAGCACGATAAGAAGAAAGGTCTCTCATTCTCCCCCATTAAATTTATGAAATTTAAATCAAATCGCTCCATCGCACAGTCTCTACAGATTTTGACGGCGAAGACCGTCTTGTCCCTGGTCATCTGCTCTGACGAGCAGGAAGCTGCCCTGGGAATTAACAATTTAGTACAAACCATGGTCTCAAACGGATGTGGAAGGATGGAATGTTGGAAGGTTGTGGACAAGGTTTTCCACAATAGGCAGAAATACTAGCCTGGCAAGGTGATTGACAATATGGTGAAGGCCAATCTGATCACCAGATACGGCATGTACTAATCTGTGTTTTGTGGTGTTTGTGAGTGTGTGTGGGGACTGGGGGGCTACGGGCCGGAAAGGCTCGATGCCTCCCGGCATCCAGCCTTTTGGCCTGTGGCTCACTCTCGGGTGGGACAGGGGTGGGGCACACATGCACACACACATAACAGGGGGGCAAGGAGCAAGGATGGTTGGAAGAGGGGAGGAATCACCAAGCACAGGTAGCAACTGGTAAAGGCATAAAAAGGCCGGACAGAGCGAGTAAATAAATAAATAAATAAATAATAAATAATAAAAGATAAACCCTAATGAAAGACTACGCGGAATAATGACGACCGAGAAACCCAAACGAGTACGATAAGGCGACAAACCATATACAAACTCGTTCAGAGCATATTCCGCCACAAAAAGATGAGTGCAGGACAACAGTTATGGGCCAGGGGCATGCTTACAGCCTGCATAAACATGAGTCCGATTATGCGCACAACCCGTGCGCGCATTGAGGCGAACAGCAAGGCATGCGCATTCTCCAAATAGTGACGTTTCGCTCAACTGATAGGACAATCAGAAGGCGTGTGATATGGATCATATCCTCACAAATCAGGGGGTGTTGTTTTCAAAATTTTTTGCTTTTTTTGTTGTTTTTGTTTTTTGTTTCTGTCCTTCTTTGTCCTTTTTGACTTGTGTTCTATTTTCTCCCCCGCCTAACGTCACCAATGACGCTTGTATCGCCCACGGGCAGTATCCCTCGGAGAGTGACGGTGACGCAACATTTTTTTCTTTCTTTTCTTTTTTCTTTCTTTTTTCTTCTTTATTTTTCTTTTTTTTTTCCTTATTTTTACACTAATCACCAGCGGTAACGTTTCGACCAATTGGGTAGGACAATCAGAAGGCGTGTGATACGGATCGTATACCCCCAATCAGGGGAAGTCATCTCGAACTGTTCTGCTATTGTGTTTGTTTTTATTTTTATTTATTATTATTATTATTTTTTTTTTTGCATTTGTTTTGTTGTTTGATTGATTTTTTCCCATCTCACGTCACCATCGACGTTTGTATTGTCCGCGGGCAATATCTCTCGGAAAGTGACGATGACGGGGCACTATTTGAGCAAGTGGAACGTTCCCCCGACTCCCATCATCGGATCAGCGCACAGGCCTTTCCGCTCGGCCATAATTCAAGATTGTGGGCCGAACGGCAGCAGGCATTCCAGTTGACAGAAGATCGGGCAGACGGTGTTCTGAGCCCTGTATCGGGAGGTTGGTGCTTGGTGGTTGCCTTCGCCATGAATTACCAGCTGGATCGGATGATTGATGACGAAGAAGACAGGGTATAAGCTTCCTCACCCTCACCTCCAGAACTTCCTGACTATTTCAGTCATTTGTGATGCACCACGCATGCGCTAAGAAACTGCACGATCTTCCATTCTTTGCATTGTTCTCGCTTTGCACGCAGGGGGGCTGTGCTGCTGATGATGCAAGTCTTCTTTCCACTTCAACTTCTGGATTGGGTAGTCTCCAGGCTAGTCGAGCTAGGGGCTATGGCGTTGAACAAAGAGGGGGCGGTTGAGAAGATGGGGATAGCTATCGAGATGTCAGCCTACCTTTTGCTCGCTTTTGTTGCTTTGCTTGCTTTTCTTTATTTTCTTGCCTTCTTACACCACTTGCAAGCTCTGCCGCCTCCATCGCCGCTCCGACTCACGAAGCATTTGTGACCTTAAAGCAGGTGTTCCCTCTGATGAAGTCGTGTACTGGTGGCTAGCGGCAGAAAAGCGCTTCAGGGATCGCCACTACCCTCCCTGCTTTAGCTATTGTGGGAGGCTTCCCATATTACGTGTAACTGCCTCTGGGGATGCAGCTGGTATCTTCATATTCATTCATTTTTCATACGAGTCTTCACGTTATATTGTCTGTGGATCGGGAAGGAGGGGAGAAGAATTGACACTTCAACTTTTTGGTCGGAAGAGAATTCATTCGTTGTTGTAATGGAGGGCGTTGGATGTGTACTCGACGTATATTTGTCTCTGAAATGTGTTCACTCATGCTTTGAATTTGTGATCGATGTATGAATGGCTGATTTAGGGATAAATGCGAGAAGTAATAAGTATGGGGCATGGCCTATAAATATATAAAGTAAAGCTTTTAACGAAGCGAAGTTGCCTCCAGACATAATATCTATCCACCATCAACCGAGCAAGATCGACGAAGGGATTGGATACTATGGTGGATGGCACTGACTAATACTATGAGTTAAGGACAGAGGTGGAAAATAATGAGTACGATACATGACTTATATGTAAGTATATATATGAATGTATATATATAAAAGAATTTTTTGTGGCGAGCAGGGTTGCCTCCGGACACAGTATCGATCCGCATATCGACCGATAGAGATCGGCGAGGGGATTGGATACTATGACGGGAGGCGCTGATAGCTCTTGGTCTCATATGATGGGTACCGATATTCCCGATGATATGTATATGATCGGATCGCTTGGTAATGAATGGGTATGATGGGAACACGTATTTTTTTACTGTGCATTTTGAACGAAAATTATGAGTCTACATGCATGAGCAGATATGTATGAATTCCACCAGGGTAATCGATTTTTTTTATTTCGAGCACGTGATTGTTTTTCACGCTGGCCTTGAATGGAAGAACGATCCTGCTGACGGCGCTCGATCGGGTCGAGGATTGATCCGCGGGCAGGCCGAAGGGCGGTATCGCTCCCCTACTCTGGCGCTGTGATCACTTTTTCCCAGATCTCACGGGAAATAACTTGTTACGCACTCATGTCTCCCAAGTATAGCAACCCATTAGAAAGCTATATCTTCCCTCGTCGATTGTTCGAGTATATTGAACGGATCTATATGTAGGCGTAAGATTATAGAATTTTTATGTTGCATGCACCAGAGGGACAAATACGATCCCCCCCCAAATGGCCTGATTGAGAAGTGAATACGCTGTCCGATAGGACTAGTTTGCCACGCTACACAGGCGGCAATGCCAATAGGACCGGCCTGGCCCGGATCACATGGATGGCATCCTAGGATTATTCCGATGAGTGTTGTTTTTCAGGGCATAGGAATGAGCTTGCGCTACATGGCGGATAACCTTTCACCATGGACAAAGCGCAAGCACCCTTGTATATGGATATAAATTTCGCAAATAGTATGGATGGTATTACGACAATTGCATGATGTGTACTAAGCACAGATAGCTCGATGCAGCCCTATGCAGCCCTATGCCCCATACGCAAGCATCGATCATCGTATTATTTGGCACTCGATCATATACACTTACGATCTTTTTGTTTTAAGATATTACTGGTTGAGGGATATATGTTCTTCTTTTTTAGATCCACTCGCCCTCTAAAGGATATATCTCTGGGCCAAAGGATTGCGTATATGTGGGGACAGGTTCTGGTCATGTTTCACGCGCAGGAATCCCACGGGACGGGTTATGTGGCATGAGAAGTCCTATGCTCGCCTGATATGGGGGTATGCTGATGAATTACTTCGGAGCTTGATGGCAATACGGTTTTCATATTTTGCATCGAAATGCTTGTCATGAAGAACTCTAACGCACACACACACACACACACACACACACACACACACACGCACAGAGAGATCTTCCTCCTCTAGTCCATCGCTCTTTTTCTTCCCGTCCAACGCTCTGGCCCCTCCCCCTTTGTCAGACTGTGTGTGTGTGTGTGTGTGTGTGTGTGTGTGTGTGTGTGT